CGTACGTACGGGCGTTCGGGGTCCTGTACGGGGTCCGAACTCGACGACGTTTTGGCCCCCGCCAAAAATTATTTCGACGCCTTAAAATAATTATTTTTTCTTAATGTTGTTTTGTGAGTTCTCTATGATGTGAGGTACATGCCGATAAATTTTCAAGTCATTTGGCTAAGCTAAATAGGAATTAAAAATCGCCAAAGATGGCGGTGTCAAAACGTGCTTGCCCACGTATTTTTTCCCTTTTTACTTTTTGTTTTCACTTTTATTTGGGGTCTAAACAGTTTTATTATTTTTTGAAACTTTTTTAGTGGGTTTTGTATTATGTGAAGTACACATCTGTTAATTTTCAGGGCATTTAGCTATGCCAAAAAAAAAAGAAAAATCGCCAAAGATGGCGGTGTCGAAAACATGCTTGCGCAACCACTAAATTTAATTCTCTTTTTATTTTTATTTATTTTTATTATTAGTAGTTATTTTTTGTATTTTATTTTTATTTCAAATTTGGTAAGAAACTCGGATGTAATGCTCGGGCAAATCTTGTTTAATTTATTTTTCTGCATAACATATATTTTTTTCAGATTTGTTTGATGACCTTTTTTTTTTTTTTTTTTTTTTTTTTTTTTTTTTTTTTTTTTTTTTTTTTTTTTTTTTTTTTTTTTTTTTTTTTTTTTTTTTTTTTTTTTTTTTTTTTTTTTTTTTTTTTTTTTGTCCGTGTTCGGCCTGAACGGCCGAACGCATCCCCAAGGAGTCCCATACGTTCGGGCGTTCGGGTCCAGGCGTTCGGCCTGTCCTGAACGCCGGTTACCCTGACTGTAACTATGACCTCAACCAATCTTTATTTCGCTTGTTGTCATCAACATAGTTATTTGACTGCGCACAAAGCAATGACTATAAATGCGATACAGAAAGTAAATTGCACACAACCATAACGTTACCGATCTCTAAAAGTAATTAGTTTATGGCGCTACTTCATTTTGTTTTTTCTCCTTCTACAGGGTTGTTCTCTATTATTATGCATAAAATTATTTAAATTGCAAAATAGATCGTGAAGACAAAATGCTTCATTTTTCATTTTTGTCACAAAGCCGATCTCTTTTTTTTTTTTTTTAGTAACCCTTCCCCCTGTTATCTCTTTCTTTCTCTTTTTTTTTATTTATCACATTCGTTTGCGCTTAGCCCTATTGTTTTGCCTCAGTACGTCAAATGTTAGTAAATGTTTTTATGATTATTTCAATAAAAATATTAAATATGTTTTTTTTTTATCATTTCAACTGCAAAATAAATTGTGGTCACAAAATGACATATATTTTGTATTTTTGTCATTCAGCGTCTCTCGCTTTCTCTTTGGTAATCATCCCCCCGTCCCCACCCTCTCTCTCTCATTTTCTCTCTTTCTCTTTTTTACAAGTGTACGCTTAGCCCTATTGTTTTCCCTCATTGAAACAAGCTCAACAATCCACAACCTTGAGAATGTAATATGTTGATTTGAGGACTTGCGTTTGTAACACAAAGGCTGCCATACAAAAAAAATATTTGTTTTTTTCCCATATCCACTCTCTCTTTTTTTCTCTCCCTCTCACACTCACACACACATACACACACATACACTACCTCACAAAATTGTCATCTGTTTTTAAAACACGAAATGCAAAAAAAACGCCCAATCTTTGTCTGCAAATGTTATACTCAAACCATAATGTTTTTTTTCTTGCTCAATTCTAAATCTGATTACAAACAAATTTATCTAATTACAAACAAATTTATCAGATTATAAACAAATTCATCTAACTTTAGCTATAACTCAAAAAACATGCAATTACGAAAATGTTACTCTAACTTTGCCCTCAACCAATCTTTATCTCGGTTGTTGCCATCAATATAGTTGTTTGACTCAACACAAAGTACTGACTATAAATGCAATACAATAAGTAAAGTGCACAAAATCATAATGACATTGACGTCTTATAACAATTAGTTTATGACGATGATCAATTTTTTTTCCCCCTTTGTAGGGTAATTGTGTATGATTATATGTAAAACCATTTCAATTGTCAAATAGATCGTGCTCATAAAATGTTCAATTTTTCATTGTTGCCAATCAACCAACCCTTCTCTCTATTTGTTTTCTTTGGTACCCCTCCCACCCCCTGCTTTTTTTTTTTTTTTTTGCAAACGCGTTTCCGCTTAGCCCCATTGCTTTGCCTCAATGGATCAAATGCTAGTATATTTTGTTTTGATATTTTCAATAAAAATATTTTTAAAAAAATTAGAATTATTTCAATTGCAAAATAAATTACTATCGCAAAATGTCAAATTTTTTATTTTTGTCATTCAACTTCTGTTGCTCTATTTTATAAGGCCCCTCTCGCCCCCCCCTTCTCTCTCTCTCTCTTTCACTCTTGCTCCCTTTCTCTTACACTTTTTTTTTTTTTTTTTTTTTTTTTTTTTTTTTTTTTTTTTTTCTCCCCCCTTCCCCCCCCTTTTTTTTTCCCCCCCCTCCCCCCCTCCCCCCCTTTTTTTTTTTTTTTTTTTTTTTTTTTTTTTTTTTTTTTTTTTTTTTTTTTTTTTTTTTTTTTTTTTTTTTTTTTTTTTTTTTTTTTTTTTTTTTCTCTCTCTTTTGCACATGTACATTTAACCTCACGGTTTTCCCTCATTGGAACAAAATCACAATTCACAACCCTAAGGCTGCAATATGGGGATTCGAGCGCTTGGAAACACTACAACCACCATTAACACCACAACCAAAGGGGAAAAAAAAAAAAAAAAGTTGCAAGTTAGTTAAAAAAAACAAGGTTGGTTACCAGTTAAGATTTGCATGGCCCCTGCGCAAGGATAAAACGCATAAATCGAGAAATGGTCCAAATTAAAAATAAATAAATAAAAAAATGTATCATATTCACCTATATTAATAAAATCTGCAAACGATTCCAAAGGAACTGCAGTCAGAAAAACAACTATCAACAAAAAAGTAACTAGCGACAAATGTATCATGTGTTTATACAAAATAAACTTTTTAAACCGTGACCATCGCAACAATTTCGTCAAGTACGCTATCCTCGTCACAATCTTCACAACAAGTTAATCGACGGTGATTAGTGAGGCATCAACTTTTTTGCTCTACTCACGGTCGGAGTAAAACAATGTCCCAATGATTGTCATCTACAACTTTGACATTTATAACATTTTCAAGCCTCATCGACTTTAAGTTACACAAAAATTGTACGAATGAAGACACAAGTTGGTGACAGATTAACAGCAACAACTAGTTTGCTCGGACGAATGTGAGATGAGAACAAAGTTTCTCGATAATTTCACCTTTCACACTGATTATACAAATCCTCCCATTGAAAACTAACTTTATTTCAACTTTTCAACACTTTCCATTAATGAGTCACTTTCCTACCTTCTCTTATCTCTCTAATCTTCATGTTTTTTGGTCCTCTGGGACCGATCGTTTAGTTTATCTAAAAAACTAATCTACTAAAATATCCCCAATGATAAATATTTGCAATTAAAAAACATTTATAGTTCACGGATATCGACAACATCACAATTATCCTCCTTTATAAACACTTCATTTATAATGATTATGAGAAAACAATATAATATCATACAACTTCTGATCTTTCAAGCTACTATACTTTAACAAAAAACACTTCCTCATGTATGTAGTTATTCAAAAACAACACCTTAGACAAAGTAAGTTCTTAAAGGTAAAACTATCCATACATAAGGTCATTATCTAAAAATATATGTATAAAAAAAATCCAAAAACTCTTAAAAACCTAGGCTACTAGTAGGGCCGCCCGGGTCCAGGGTGACCAACCCGTGCAAGGACCAGGGTAGGTCTCAGGAAAAAAAAATAAAAAAATCCGAAAAAAACTATGTTATGCAGAAAATTAAACTAAACAACTTTTGCCTTAGGGTCACATCGAAATTCTTCTCCAAATTTATAATATATATATATATATATATATTTTTTTTTTTTTTTAATTTTGATTTTGTTTAATTGTTTTTACCCGGCAGGGTAAGTAACCCGGGTCACTCTGGTAGCGTAGTTAAAAAATGTAAAATATTGCCCGCACCAATTCAACATATTTTACAATTTTGCCACTCGCCAATATGTGGGCCAACGAGAAAAGTACACAAACTTCAGTAATTTTCAACACTAAAAAGAATTGGAAAAAATAAATAAATTAAAATGTTCGTAAATTTTATTATGATATTTTTATAAACAATATAAAAAATATATATATATATTTTAACCGTAAAACAAGTCGTCATCCAATTGCAGCGACAATCTATGTCGTGACCGCAATCTGACCCATATTCCAATTTTATCATTTAGTTTTTTTTTTTTTTTTTT